GGGCGGGTGCTCAGCAAAATATGGTTATTGATTGATTGAACACAGATGCGGCTCTTCTACAAGAAATGTAAAGCCGGAAACACTGGTTAATTGTCCAAATGGAAGGTCATGTTCACTATCAACAGTATCCGAACAAAACTGTAAAGCTTGTCGAGTACGGTGAACGAGGGGCACCAGAACTACTTCACTGAACCGACTTCGGCAACCGAAGATGTGAAACAATTCTGTGGCCGGCCATAGCGCCCTTTTAGCGGTAGTGATAGCCGTCGAAGCAGAAATGGGATGGAGAGACACGGCCGTAGTGTCATGATTAATCTAATTCAGCCGTTTAAAGGAACTATGATAAGAAAGTTGAAGAAGAAATCGAAATGAAGTAAGAAAACGAAATTATCTCCGAAATTGAAACTGAAAGACTGGTAGAGATATTCCGAAGTGAATCGTCCAGCACGGCGGAAGAACCTTCTTATAGTTTGAAATGAAGGCCCGCAGTAGGTCTAGTACCTTGACCTGGTATGCGTAGGGTTTTTGTGAATCGCACCGTTTCATGGAATTTTATTCGTCTGCGTTCGAATACACGTAAAGGCCACAAAAACAAGTTTGACAGCACAATCAAAGATTACCGTATCCTCCGGACAAAAGAACTCGTCCAAGATTTTCTACAACCTGAAGAATGATAAGGGAGGATGCTCTTGCTTCATATCTACTGGACCACATCCCGTCCCTGGCTGATTAATGTATCGGAAGTGGCAGTTCCTAAGCACTTCGAGAGTCAAATTTTTCTCCATGCCTTGTATAGGGTTGACCCTCGACGATTTCTGGGTAGACTAGTGGGAATGGCTCACTCCAGACAAATAGGTGAATGCTGAGAGCTTCGATCTTTGTGCTCTACCAGTAAGAGGTTTCCCACGTAACATTTCCAGTTTGGTTCTCGTAGCAGATCATACATCGAACCTCTCAAGGATTCTGACGACATTTTCGAGTAGCACGGTAATCATAGAGGGCTCAATGAGCGAAAAGTCACCAAACTATTTGTACCCAAGGTAAGAATATTTCCGGGGTTCACAAACTGTTACAGCCAACAAATGCCTTAATTACTCGCTCCGAATAAAGTAAACACATGCTTTCCCGATTCAGAGCGAAAGCGCAATGCGCGGCTTAGATAGATGATCGAACAGTTCCGAACAAACACTGCCCTGTACTTTCGCTATGAAATTCGTGACTTCATCTCACATTAACCTACTTAAACTGGAGCCAATGGAATAAGCTGACAAAGATGTTTTTAGCTTTCCACGTAAAGCAGGTCTCATAGAGGTCAGTGAAAGTTGGAAGTATATTCGACCGAGTTTTAGACGATATGGAGGACCCGCCTCACATTCGATTGAAACTCAAGACGATGAAGTCATCGCGTCGTCAGCCTCTAGAACGATATGCAGGTTGTGAAGAACTTGCATAAAGCAGCGCCACGCAGCTGATGATCCACCAGTTATACCATCACCATCCTCATCCTTACCATATTCCAACAGTGCCTAGTGCCTCTATCCTCTCATTACCCCTAGCCCCTCTTTCTTTGCCTCTATCCCCTCTATCCTGAGTTGGATTAGCTTGATGGGTCATCGCCGATGACATAAAACGAACAGATAGTTACACGCCTTCGACGATGCCCGACGAAGAACTACTCCGGACGTAAATTCACTTCACAGCACCCCGTTTGCAGATGCAAAGCGACAGAAGAAACGCAAGCATATGCAAAATAATTGCCTCTGATGTATCCTAGCTGTATCAGGGTCTATCAGACTGCGGATATTTTGTATTAGGTAAACTTCTTGTCACAAATGACACCGATCACTTACTGGGACACAAAATAGGAACCGTAAAAAACCTGTCGAATCCAGAACAAAGCTTTGAAAAAGTTTTGAGATTGAAGTGCGTGACTGTTGCATTCATTGACAAATACGGTCGAAATGATGATAACACAACTCCCAAAGTACATTACCGTACCCACTTGAAGGTAAGTGAGACCATATCTCATCGAAACAACCGCCTAAAAAGTCAATTGTAAAACCGGCTTTCATTTGATACGGCAATAGCCAAAAAAATTGCAATAGAAAAGTCACGCCTCGGAATGCGCCATACATATGATTACCGTCCGAAACTTCAAAGGACTTTGAGTTCGTAAGATCGCCGCTGTGATTTCAGAGAATTCGGCAATGCGTTATTCAGTGTTGGTGTAGTACGACTGAGCAAAAAACTTAATCGTTCAGCAGATCATTAAATTTTCCGAGCTCAGAGAGACATAAGGCCCAGCTGGTCTCCGCACTTCTCACCCGGGCTGGATCCTTCGACATTACGAATGGTACTGCCTCATCCGGCAGTCAGTATCCCATATAACCGTCTAGACCATTCCAATGAGACTGCCCATTACCTATAGATGTTAAATACAATAGCCCACACTCGACAATTCACATTATCTACCACCACGCTGAAAACCCATCCAGAATACACTTGACAACTTTTCCGGACTACTCATGCAGCCCATACAGATCCAAAAAGCAAAAATTTTGATTGGAAGCAGAAGAGATGGTGCATCCCAGAAGACGGCATGGCCTGTCAGTACTCACATTACCCCATAGAACTTCAACATACACAATCCTTGAAAGCCATAGAGCGCTCAAGTGTTGGGCGTGGGGGCCTACGCCGCAACACGGGTTCGGAAATATTCTATTGGTTTTTGGCGTGATAAACACTTTGCTGAAGTGTCGCGTAAAGTCCCATCAATAGTCATGTTCAGTATGATGTCATCTTAACGACAAGAGTGGGAGTTACCCTTTTGGGGTAGAAAACCTAAAAAACCTCCAAGTGCCCTACTCTGAGTTTCAAAAGAATCAAGGAGGATCACCCCGACCCACTCAATAACTCGATTGAAATCGAGTTTGTCAGGAGCTTGGAATAGATGGTGCCAGTAATTTTATGAACCCAAAAAAATCTCCACTCTGGTAGAAAAAAGCTCTTCTTACTCTCAAAATAACTTCTTCTATGTCCAGTGAAGTATGAAGTTGAGTTAGGTTAAGAGTAAAGTTTCTCCGAGTCTAGTGAAATATGAAAAGAAGAAGAATAGTTACACCGGGAAAGAGAACGAAAGCGGATCAGAGTAAGGCTGCAGTTAAAACTGCATGCACTTCGTTCTGCGGGCAGACAGGTGCAATTACTTTCTAAAAGCGTTGCGAGCCATAATTTGTGAAAAAAATGGCACCAGTGATGGCACCAACTCTACTGTATACAGTCTAACAAGTAAAGATTGCGATGAGATTGAGAAGAAACGAATTTTCTCTACCAAAAACCGGTTGCCGACCACTATTCCGCACTCAGAGACCAGGAACTGAATTTGTGTGATAGAAGAAAAGTTAATTATGCTTAATCACTTGTTTCTGTGTTGCACATAGCATGTAAGTTTCCAGCAGAAGACCCCAACGGTCCCAAGGGGCCGAGCTCTGCAACGGGAAGGCAACAGCAGCACCATTGCACTTTCCGAATTACGCTTCATTTCAGTCCCTCTCCTCTTGTTGTTAGGCAGTAATGTGATCAGTCGTTTAACAATGTCTTTCACTCCAGTAAACTAATTACTTGTTGTGAATGTTAGAAGAGCGCAGTGTGTTCAAAAAAACGAAAGATTTTTCCAATCGTTGGATCTGGTGCCTTTCTTGCAACTTAAAGTCCCAATTCTCCAAATAGGGCTGTCTGTGAGTGAAGCCACTGATGAACAAGAAGATTGTTCGATCAAACGCTCCAATCAATGAAATTTGCCCTTACTCATCACGGAATAAACTAACAAGTAGGCGGGTCCTGTGGAGAAGTCGTCTTTGTAGTATTATTCAAAGCTACCAAACTCGACCTATTCCTTCCTATCATACCGTTATTCAAAGGTCAATTTTCAAAATGATGTTCCCGAGAAAGGCATCCCAAAAGGTCTCCTATTGAACAGCGACTTAACGTGCTCAGCAAAAGACGAAGGAATTAGTTCTAACCGAAAGTAACTTACCGTGCGTCCACCACACTACTACTGCGTTCCTTTCGCTTACTGCGTATCTTCTTGTAGATGCAAGAATCCGAACGATCTTCCTGAAACACCCCCATCGAGAACCTGGTTATTGTTAAACCCTTGAGATTTTTTTAGTACCTGTGGAGGAACCAAGGGCACTGCAAGCCGTGGTTGCGGTCTGATTACTGTCGGAGGAGAAACGGCATCACCTGAAAAACTGTCGGAAATACAAAAGAAGTATAGTTAATGTACATACTTCATAGGATGGAAAAAATAAAGCTCTCGACTTTGCGAGCCTCTCCGCATTGGCAAAAACATTTAAATTTGGAATTTGAATGAATATTAATTAGTTGCTTTATAAACTAAGCTCTATATTTATTGGTATAGGCTGAATAGTACAGTGGAGGCACCTGGTCAACGTCTGCCCAATAGAAACACAAAACCATTCAGTTCACTCCAAAAGATGGGCAGTCTGCCGATACTTCAAAGCTCGCTTGCATCAGTAAATGGAGAAGAAGTATGGATACTTATACATTTCCTCATTTACGTTGACTGCAGCCTACCTGCCTAGGCTCCGCCTTTTTTATGCCACCTTTAGATATTATTGCTGACTTTCCAATCTACTCATTGTGTTCCGTTTTTAAGCCCGTTCAGCGTTCGTTCATGGAAAAATTGCATCGGAAATGTCCATATTTCACCGACTGAATGGGATCACATTGACCCATATCTCTCATGTGGTCAGCGTTCGGCTTTCAGTTTCAGGAATATTCGGCTGCTACATGAGCAGATAACCATCTTGGAGGCACGTCAGCCTTTTTTTGACATTACTTCATGAAACTAGTTTACTCCTTTTTACCCCTTCCAATAACCAAGGATTCCAAAAGACCTCTAAGGAAGTTCCGTCGAAAGCAGAGTAGCTTTGTTTTCTGGGTCTATGATATCCAAAATTTTGATCTCCGATTGCACACTTTTCGAGGACCCCCTAGGAAGTATCAACATGAATGGAAAGGTTATTTAGTCGGTACTAGTAAACGTAAGAAACCTGTCATTCACGTGCATATGCAAATGTTTGACTAACAGATTTGTTTACTCAGTTTTCTGAAGTTGAAGAACTCAGTGGGAAAAACAATAAAAACGACTTGTAACAAAAACCATTACCGTTGGTGTATTGCAAAGGCTGACGTGAATATGGCGAGAAGGCGGACTTCTCGGACGCCTCTAGACCGCCCATCCTGAAACGAGGTGCAGAATTTCTGAGTGCTTCGAGGAGCGATATAATCGCTTGAGCAAACGATCATTTAGCCGACAATAAGCGCTCTCCAGCGTTGACGCCGAAGCGCGTGGTCGGTCCGGACCGGAACGCGCGTTATATGGTAAGGGGAAAAAACTGGCATGAAGTGTCTACAAGACGGTATAGCGGAATGTTTGAAGAAGTCTCTCCAAATCGGAACTGAAAAAATTCGGCGATACCGTAAGAGGTAAGAGGGAAGTCAAACTTTTGAATACTCATCCACTTTAGCAGAAAATTCTTCCCGGGACCAACTGAGCTCTAGCTTGATCACTGTTTGAGCATGTCGATTTAAAGATTACCCTTTTCCAATAGAGTAATTCAATAGAAGCGTTCGTATTGGAAGGGATGGAGGAGGATGCAACAATCTGTGGTACAAAGGATGTCAGAATGACTGAAGATAGACCCTCTCACGGAATCCTGGTAAAACGATAGGATTCTATAAACTCATAAAACCTCACCGAGAAAAAGGAAGAGAATTGAGATGGGAAAAGCTGTTAAGTCGAAAGACGTTGGCGTTCCGCAGAATGCTAGTAAAGTTACAACAGATTCCTCAAAACTTACTATTGTTAGATTTTACAACCTCGAAAGAACTTCAGACACGAAACTCATGCTACCAGATTGTTTGGTGGTTGGAGATTGCGTCAAGGGCACAAGAGAATTAGGCATAAAAAAGCCCGAGGCGCAGCGTAGAAAATTTGAAATGATCGATGAATTTCTGGTTTTTTNTTTTTTCCTTTACAATACTTCAGTCATCGGACTGGTGTAATTGCAAAGAACGATGAATCGTCATGGATTCAATCAAGGCCAAAGTGAAGTAGTTGAATGTGAACAACAAAACTTACTCTGGGGCAGGAAATGGAATAGTCCTAGGTACTCTCACTTGAATCGCCCGGCAGGTGAATCCCATCAACTAAGCTTTCCATCTCTCCATGGTCGATAAATTGGTATAAGAGCACTGACTTGTACTCGGGACGACAACACAAACTCAGCAAGTTTTTGCCTAGGCCACGTACTCAACCAAAACGTATGATTCTGAGTGGAAGACGAATGCAGGGCGCACATCAGATCGGGATCGATCGATACTAGAAAACTGTAACTTCTATTCTCTGAATATCATGCGCAAGCAGACTACAGTTGTAACAGCAGACTTCATAAAAACACTAGCAGGGGACCAAAACGACCAACGAATACAAAAAAAAATTAGAGAAGCATTCCGAAATCAAATAAATTTCTCAAGTTAGATTCATTTTCACAAGAGGAAACCTAGAAAAGAAGGATGAACCCAAGGGATCGTACCCAGAGGAACATATGGACCTTAAGTGACCATAGCAATCGCTCCAGAGGATAAGCCGTTGTTTCCTGTTTGTACGTGCAACTAGGAAGCCGATTGACGCTAATCCTCTGTGTATACATCAGTTCAAGCATTTCACCGGTCGTATTGGCCCCCTAGTCAACCATCGACCAACGATCTCACGATCCTCGGCGTACATACAATAACCCCAGGATCTCTGGTGAGAGTGAAAATCCAATCGATCGGATACTAGTATTAAAGAACTAGTAAACACGAGGGATAAAGTTCTTGATTGGAATGCCATCAACTGGTGTGGGGCACGAAACAGCATCTGTGATATGCCAATATTTTATAGAGCCGGCCGATGTCTAGGCTTCCTTGAGAAGGACGGATATCAGTAAGAGATTTCTCAAGATTTCTCAGTCTGAACCGGACGCATGAAAAGGTCGTCCTTTGGGTCTGCCTCCATCTCCAAGTCGCAAGCACGAATAATAGGAATAAGTCTTGAGAGCAAAAACATCGACAAGTGTATTCTTCTCGTAAACGAAGAAAAAGTAGGGAAATCTTTTCTCCCCCTCTTGAAACTGCAAGCGAAGCACAACAGATGGGAAAACTTAAGTATAAAGCCTAAGAGATAAAATCAGAGAAGGTAAGGATCTTGGGACACAAGAAGTGACCTTAAGAGGTTCAATTTGGATTAAGAATTGAATTCGGCATTGCTACAGCAATTATCGGGATGCGCCACGCACATAGCAAGCACCTGTTTAAAATAGTAATGATGCTAATCATTAACTTATATAAATATACTGGCCTAATCTGTTCGACACAGGATTGGGCCCTGCCTTGCCTGATCTGACGCTGTCCAGTTCATTTACGAAATGAGTGAAGGACTTCATTTAAAATTAAAAACCAAAAAATATGGAAATAGTGAGAATGTTTTCTTATTTGAATTAGATCGTTACTAGTGATCTCATAGGCGATTAAGGTTTTCCGGGAGGAACACAGAAAACCGAAAATCGGAAATCGAAGGAACGAAATAGTGGAAGTGTGGCAAAGTCAAGAGAGCGAGGGTAAGGAGGCAGTAATCAACTTCGAGGAGATTTAAATCACATCCAGTACCGTATGCCATACCTCATCAGAGATATATTCAACGAGAGTAATGAAGTTGCCTACTGGCTTGCCCTACTTTAATAGGATGAGATTTTATTGGATAGTTCCAGTGAGGTTCCATATAGAGCAGCATAAAATCACTTCCGCATCCAATTCGTCGTAGTAGATGGAACCGGTAAGCTGTCCAGTGACATTACATTTATAGTGAGCACTATGTGTCGTGTAGGATGGGACTGGAACAACGCATAAAACCCGCAAATCGACTACGAAAAATCCGGCTGTTTAACGTGATGTGCCAGTGTTTGCTATTGCACTTCACGAACACCTCAATCATGATCGTGAAGATTCTCCTCAATCATGGAAAAGCCGAAGAAGATTGGACTTACTACTCCTCTGTTACTTACCTACTAGTTTGTAACTTTTCTACTGTTTTCGAATCCGATCAATCAAGTGAGAGCTACTGGGTTATACTGAAGCCACAGGGAAGGTTTTATGAGGTTTTCTCACGGTTTCAATATCTTCCATTATCTCTCAAACTCGAAAACAGTGGGAACGACGCCAAAATAAATAAATAACTATTTGAATGGGCAGTAAAGAAGTAAATCGTTCTTCCTCCGTCTCGACCAAGCTTCATTCCACTTCAACCTCATGGAGCAGCTCAATGAGCCGATGGTGTGCAAAAAAGATATATTGCTCTACTTTAATTAGTTACACTTCTGGAATACGCCACGGAGTCGACTTTTTGTAGGATCAAAACAGTTATTTAGATTCTGACCATCCTAAACAGAGGAGTACGTTCTTTTCTTGCATAACCGAAATATTGTACAGTGGCTGAAAAAGCTGTGTACCGTACCATCACGGTCTGCAGGTTCAAATTTTTTTCTGATTTCCCATCACTATAGGGCCAGAAACTTGAACCAGCCATGCGGCAGAAAAGAATGCCCAACTGAGCATGAGTGGCTCTTACAAGTTTTTGCACTGGACGAGTAAGCATTTACAAGCCTCTCCAACATTGACTGGAAATCTGTTAGGAGCCATACGGGTACACTGGTCGTCAACGTTTTGTATAGAAGCTCTAGGAATGTTTCGTTTATTTTTAAGAGGCCCATTACCTCTGACAGTTGTGAGCAATCGCTTTCTTTACAACTCTGCAGAATTCATTTGGTTCGCTGCAAATGGCCGACCGGTAAAAAGCAATCCATAAAATTTAACGGACCGGCTATTTGACTGATCGAATTAGTAAAATGAAGAGAACGGAAGAGAGAATTAGCAAAGAATTCGCAATAATAAAGTAAAATAGAACTGTCATTCTCAGACCAGCCACCTATCGCTCTTCAATTGAGCGATTTCTAAAAAATCACCTGTCACTCACAAACAGATTAAAAAGCATCCGATGAACTTTATGTAGAGCACCTCTTCCTAGGCCAAACAGCAGGAGAGCATTTCTTAGGAATATCAACACAAGGGTCACGGGTAAAACGGGTCTATAGCAGGCAATATGGCTAAATGTTCAAAAGCTCGGCTTGTCAACTGGGCTAAGCCAAGCGCTCTATTTGTATTCAAAATTTTTGAAGCCTCTTTAAGGGTAAAGTGTTTTGGCGTTATCAATTCTGTTTTTTGAATCGCTTCTACTTTCATTCAGAATTGGAGACCGTCGCTGACCAGCCGATATTCAATGCTTTTATCCTCCTAGTCGAGTATGGTACTAACCGATCAGTCGTGGAAAGATGAAAGACTCAGTTTTATTGCTCCGTTGTAGTGCTAATTGACATCCTAACACACGCACTGCCCGGTGATTCGATCCCCGGACCGTGTGTGTGATAGGGTGACAATTAGCACTACATCACCCCTACAATCCTGGTAAAGAACAGCAGAGAAAGGCTGCATATGAACGAGTAGGGTTGTGCACGAGGCAGGAAGGAGAAGGGAAGGAGTTCGGTGGCTCCAGGGAGTCGTGGTTCCATCCCTAGACCTGCTCGGCGTTCTTTCAATGGGCATAATACTCCACTTCAAGTCAGTGTTTCCATTCTCTACGAAAGTGAAAATATGTTTCAGCAGACTCTGCAGAGAATGAAGACGAACGACCTTTTTCCAGAACAGCCCTTCAAACGCACAGCAATGCTTCTGGTCAGTGCACCACTCTTCTCCACTTGAACTTTTTGCCAAGTCCCAAGAGAACAATCGGTCTCTCGGAAGTCTGCTGACATTCAAGTGGGACAAAGACGCATGTAAAGCCGAATCCGTCATTGAAATGCCACATCGACAAAGTTGAGCAGTAAAGAGTAGTAATGGATACAAAAACCAGGACCTGAATTGCTATAGGCCGGCAGTGCCGGCAAGACATTAACGCGGTAATTCGCGACCAAAACTGCCAGATATAGCAAAAAATGGCTATTGTCTCGAAGGCGGCTTGTTGAAGCTACATTTCTGCGTTCGTGAAAAGGTGGACGAGTTCTCATGAAGACCATATCGTAGAGGCTAGACATTAGAACACCTCTGAGAGTAAAATCAGTGAAAAGTAGAAGTGAAGTCGTCTGCT